GTTCAATCTCCTGTACTAGGAAAAAACAAAACTCTGGTGAATTTAAAGTGATTTTTCACAGAACCTGCAGAATCCAGAAGTTGCTAGAAGTTGTTAGAAAATGACATGTTAGGTGACTTGACCAATTCAAGCAGGGTGTTACAGAGTCAGAACCAGAGCCAAATTTGCTGGCTGTCCAGGGCTTTTTCCCTGTGCCATGTGTACATGAGGAATTTTTTCTTTGTTAGTTCCATCTTAGTTCAGGGACCTATAAAGCCCCATTATTTCACTGAAAACCAATCCTTGTTTTCACATAGTGAAGGTGAAGCGAGGAAAGGTGGGTTCCTCAGTCTTGCGGGAGGAGGTGACTGGAGGGCTGGAGAGGGCCGGCTCTGGGCAGGGCAGGGGGTACTGCAGCGAGGCAGGGTGATAATCCCTCCCTTCCACGAGGCAGGGTAGTAATAATAATCCCTCTGTGGTCAGCGGTCATGTAGGGAGGCAGCAGTGGCGCCTCCTTCACTTCCGCCCTGTTTCTGAGCATGGCCTCCGTCTCAGTGTTCCTGGAGGGCTGGAAGGAAGTAACTACTGAGAGGTGTCAGTCTCTTACCACTCACTTTACAACTGTCAAGCAGAAATGGTTGGGCGGGGACGCAACTCAGCGGCACACGCACCTGCCTGGCGAGTGCAAGGACCTGAGTTTGATTCCCGGTACAAACAAAACAAAACAAAACGAAACAAAACAGAAATGGTTGTTTTCAGTGTAGGAAATAGGAATTAAACTAGTGTTGTTCGGAAAAGAAAGCGCAGTGATTATTGGTATGGTGGGTATAGATCATACAAGTTGTAAAGGAAACTATTTTTTTTACAGGTATGGAATAGCCAACAATTGCATTTTGTTTCTGTGCTGAGGACTGAACCCAGCACAAACATGCTAAGCAAATGTTCTTCTGCCACTAAGCTACATACCTAGCCCATAAATTGCTTTTTTTTGGCAGTACTGGGAATTGGGCCCAGGGCCTTCATACCAAGATACAACCCAGCCTCGTTTTTATTTATTTTTTTTTTAATTTTGAGAAAGGATCTTGCTAAATGGCTAAGTTGCCCAGGCTGAGCTCAAATTTGAGATCCTCCTGCCTCAGCCTCCTGGAGCATTAAGTTGGGAAAACTTAAGTGAGAGTGCTCACTGGTTTTTTCTTTTCTTTTTTTTTTTTTTTGAAACAGTGTCTTGCCACATAGTTCAGACTGGCCTTGAGCTCATTATGCAGCTCAGGCTGGCCTTGAACTCACAGTGATCCTCCTGACTCAGCCTCTCAGTGCTGGGATTATAGATGTGTACCACCACATTCAGCTGCACTCTGCTCTTTTTTCTTTTTTGTTTTTTTGAGACAAGGTCTCCCTTTGTAGTTCAGGCTGGCTTCAAACCTGTGGCAATCCTGCTACCTCAGCCTCCTGAGTGCTGGGATTGATTATAGGCATGTGCTACTACACCCAGCCATTTCAATAATTTCTTTGTCTCTTGTATACAAACCCTTTCCACTCCCTAACTCCCTAGGTAGAGCTAATTGCTTATGTTTTCATATAAGCAATTAGTTTTATATATACTATATCATCTATCTGTCTATCTATCTATATCTTTTAAAATGGCATTGAGTTACTTGCTTATACTCTTTGCTTCTTAAAGTCAGGGATTATGTCTTACTTTTATATCCTTCTCACCTAAATATGTTTCCCAGCATGTAGTCAACATTTCATTAATATTTGTTAAATTGAGCCAGGTGTGGTGGTGCATGCCTGTAATCTCAGCACTCAGGAGGCTGAAGCAGGAGGATCATTGTGAGTTCGAGACCAGCCTGGGCTACAAAGTGAGCTCATGGGCAGCCTGAACTGCATAGTGAGACCCTGTCTCAAAAAGACAAAAAAAACCCAAAACTGTTAAATTACTTAATATGTAATTAAATACAATACAGTTGAAATGTTTAAAAATTATATTAAGGGAGTTATATAAAAGAAGGCTTTTGATAATATGATTATCTCTTTATAAGAACTGTGTACTTTTTTTTCTCTTAAATCATGCTATTACATGAATTTCTATGCATTAAAACTTTAGAGTTGAATGAATGGGAGGAAGAATAAGTTACTTCTTTTTGTGCTACTTCTGCCCGAAGTAGGGTTCTGAATGAAAACCTTGGTCAGTTCTTTAATAAAGCATGTAGACAACATAAAGGAATGTGAAATTAACTTGAACAAATATTAATGTAATAATCAGTATATTGTTGTATTTCATCTAGCAATTCTGGGCCCTAAAGACAGTTTCAAAGCATGAACTCTTTCCTACCTGGGTGTCCCAGTACCTTTTGAGACTGAAAAGGTAAAGTCATCTGATCACTTCAGAAATCTATATGATGTGTTATTTTATCATCGTCAGCCTAGCAGGTTCCCCTCGTCCTTCCCCATCCCAGCGTTTCCTTGGTAACCTCGGCCGCTGTGCCCTGGCAGAAGCTTCTGGGTAAGAGCTCACCTGTGCAGAGAGCACGTACCTGCCCCACCTCCACACAGCAACCCAAGTGCCCGGAGCTCGTGCCCAGAGCGCTGAGAAGCTGCTTAGCTTCCTCCAGTGTGTGTTTATTGTCCAGTGTTGTACAATTATAAAAAGTACTGTTTCACGACTCATGATGAATCAGAAGCCGCTTCCACTAAGGAGTTGTAGGGGTCGGTAGTTGAAGGGTGAAGGAAACCACAGAGTGTGCTGGAATAATTTAATGGTGTCCGAGGGCTCTTTATAAAGGGGACCCTGAGGAGTCAAGAAAAAGTTAAATATGTTTGGAAAACTACGTTTAAGATAAATTTTTTTAAAAAAATTGCTTAGAATGGAAGAAAGCTTGGTATTGCTTAAAATTAAACAAGGTAGTATTTCGTACATTGTTTAATGAGACTTAGCACTAATATAGCAAGCAATATAGTAAGCAGTATGTTATTATATTTCCTTTCCTATTCGCCTTTCAAACGCTGGCTCAGTGTGTTATTTGAATTTGTAATCATTATTTTTCTTGTGAAATAACTTCCTGTTGTGGGAAAAATATACATATAATTTGGGGAGATGGTGATCACTGTTGGCCTTTGTTTCACTCATTTTCAGTAACATGAATGACTCAGATTCTGAAAGAAGAGAAAGAATGACAAGTGAGTAATCTTTCTGGTTTTCTTGACTTTGAGGATTGTCATATAAAAGCAACATGTATTGAAAACCAAAAGTGATTACTTATGAGGGCTAAGTTTCGTGTTGTTTTTTAGCTATAGAAAGTCTGTGAGTATTTTAGTTGAGCTGAAGGGTCAGATATGAGCTTCCTAATTTCAGTACAGGGCTCTTTTTCTTTCTTTTCTTTCTTTTTTTTTTTTTTTTGTCTTTTTGAGACAGGGTCTTGCTCCACAGTTCAGGCTGGGCTTGAGCTCATTTTGTAGCCCAGGCTGGTCTGGAACTTGCAATGATCCTCCTGCCTCAGCCTCCCCAGTGCTGGGATTACAAGTGTGCACCACCACACCTGGCTAGTACATGGCTCTTAAAAAGGCAGCGTAGGATAGCGCCACTCTGGATAAGTTTGCATACTCAGGGTAAAATAACATCTTTTACAAAGATGGTGGAGTGGCAGGGAAGGTGACCTGGGGACCTGGTGAGAGGAACACGGGTTTGGGACTATGGCTGACACAGTTCATCTCTGCCACTTTTTAACTGGATAATCTGAGAAATACTTCACTCTCCAACTCTCAGGATCCTTAGCTGTATTGAAACGGGGATATTTTACAAGAATTTTGTAAAGATGAACAATAATATATATATATTTATTTATTTATTATAGTCCCTGGGCTGTAATACACATCTATTAAATGATAGCATATACAAAGAAATCATTTTTGTGTATTAATTTTCAGTCTACCATGTAACTTCATACTTGTGTTGGAGAGGGAAAAAGTGAAAGTTATTTCTTCTTGTAATGTAGATTCGAATAAGACCAAATAAGTTAAACAGAAAGACCTAAGCCTTTGAGTACTTCTGGGTTAAGACTTGCTTCAAGAGCAAGTGGGCAGCCGGGTACAGTGCCATGAGCAGTACCTCTAACACCAGATACTCAGGAGGCTGAGCATTACATTTAACTGATCTGTAAATGGAGCCATATAAAACTGCACAGATTTCTGTAACAATGTGTACCGAAGATATGGAGTTAATGAATAATGCAGGCATGAAGAAATAGACGTTTAGAACAGGGTACAGCTGAGTGAAGTCTGAGCCTGCAGTTCCTGCTAGAGCAGGAACCATATAAAGACTCCATATACACTTTTTGTGTTTTTATTTTAAAGGAGTTTTTAAAACAAATTTTCTAAAATTTTGCAGTGTAATCACACAGAAAGAGAAAAAAAATCCCCATATTACCATCATCAAGTGAGATTGCTGGTCACATTTTGATGCATTGATATCCAGTCTCTTTTTCCTGTGTGTTTTGATTAGAAAAAAAGGTGGCAGCAGTCATACTAGGGTATAATTTTCCTTCTTTCCTTTTTTCTTGTGATGGTGGGTATTAAACTCAGCATTCCTAATCCCTATAGTATAATTTCACATCTTTTTTTGTATAAAACACTTCTTTTATTGAGTTTTTTTGGGAATCTGATACATCTCCACTGTATAACAATTGAGCCATTAATCTTGTAGCTTCATCAACATTAACTGGTTCATTTTCATGCTGCTGCTGCTGCTTAATGGCTCTTCAGCAGAGCTTCAAGAGTAAGCATTTTTGAGAAGTGTGCAAGTTCTTTCTGCATGTTTACAAAAGCATTACTCATTCTGCAAACTTTTTCTGCGTTCACAATGTTTATCTTCTTAAGATTAGTGGTAAATGGTTTTGCTTTGTTTTTGGATTTAAAGTTTTTTTGGCTGGCTATGTGAAATACATTCTTGTACTTCTGCCCTCTTAATTTATTCTTGGCCATTGTCGTTGGTGTCCACGTGCAGCTGCTCAAGCTCCTGGTGATGCCATCTGCACAGGGCCACATCTTTTTTTAAAACTAAGGATAAATTAAGCTTATTTTTGCAGTTCATTCATATAGAACATGCATTTTGCAATTTCATTCATACAGAGCGTGTGTGTATGTGTGTGTGTGTACACTCACGCTGGGAATACAACTCAGGGCTCTGTGTATGCCAGGCAGGTGTTCTGCCACTGAGCTAACCGCACCCCTATAATGTACTTTTAGCAGCTACATAATTTCTTTGCAAATATATGTAATATTTTTCTTGACCATTTTCCCATTATGTGATGTTTCCAGTTTTTCCTTAATGCAAATAATGTTTTTTATGTTTCAAGTTATTTCCTTAGACTATATTCCTAGAGGAATAGAATGAGTAATCATAATGCCCTCAATCTTGGGATTATTGTGCCGGCAGATCTTTGAAACTACATTGAAATGGAACAAGTATGTTCTCTTCGTTCTAGTGACATGGAAAGCGCTGCTGAGAATCATGTCACTGGTTTCTTCAGAAGTCTCTTGGGCCAGTGGGAAAAGCATATCTCTTCCTCATCTAGTTCATAAAAGATTTTAGAAAAGGCACATCAAAAATAATGGGAGTTGCTGGAATTTTTCGAAGTGGACCACTATTGCACTACTTTTTTTTTTTTAATACTAAAAATCGTGTATCATTGTCAAAAATACAAATGTAGAATCAGTTTTGTCAGTGCCCAGGCCCGTCTGCCCCCAGGCAGCAGGAGCAGCAGGCAGTGTCTCCGAGTCACTTTGCCCGGCTCACGAATGGTAAAGGCACTGTTGTCTTTCACCCTGCACGCTGGTGACGGGGGCTAATTCAGATGAAGTACGTACTTTCTTCATGCTTTATGAAGTGCTTAGTAAAGCAAAAATGAGGAAAACACCAAATTAATTATGTACTGAAGAAGATACAACAAGGTACAAATAATGTTCAAAAGTTTTTGTAGTGCATAGTAAATATTCAACATTGTTTATGAACATTTTTTCAATTTAAAATTGGCGTATAGTGATATTTCGGACAGTTTTAAAGATTAACTAGTTTCACTGGTGATGTTATCTGATCTATGTTGACTCAGTAATTTATTGTTCTAAGATGTCCTTTCTCCCTGGTTAAAGCTGTTAACCCTAGGTATGTGCTAAAGAACTGGATGGCTGAGTCTGCCATACAGAAAGCAGAAAGGAATGATTTTTCAGAGGTGAGGTGGTTTATTTTTATTTCAAATGTACTGTATTTTAAGAACATTTATTGACAAACATGTTCAACTATACTATTGGCAGAAGCAGCTTCGCAGATTTCTCTCTGCCTGTCCTCTCTTTATTCATTTATCAGTGAATCATTTCCTCATATTAGCTACTAATATTTTAATGTGTTTAAATTTTTAAGTATTTTTATCTTAAATACTCATAAATGCATTGAACGTTTTAGTATCTGACTCTGTCGGAGTCTGCTACTAGTTGTTTGTGTTTTGGCATTTTTGGTTTCAGTCTCTTTTTGAAATCCAGTGAGGATGGATTTCATCCATCCTAACCCTAATTTGAGGATGTAGCTCCCCAGAGGAATTGGCATTTACTTCTACCAGGCTAGACTTAGTATTTGCTTCTACCCTAGCACTGCCAACCATTTTAAATTAATCTTGACAGTAATGAAGACAAACTATAGGTACATGCATTAGCGTGGATACATTTCACGTAAGACATTAAGCAAAACAAGCAGATGGGAAAGAAATTCATACCATGTGTTACCATTTAAATATAGTATAAAAACCACCCTAAATCATCAGTACCATGCACTGGGACTTCAAGCGTATTGGAAATATTTTATTTCTGAAGCTGAATAGACGATACACACATGCTCATTATATTACTCTGCATTTCTTCACTACCTAAAATCTTTCATAATTAATTACTTAAAAAATGCATCACAGGGACTAGGGATGTAGCATGTACGTGCAAGGCTGTGGATTAAACTCTTAGCACTGAAAAAAAGAACGCTGAAGGTAACGTGATCCTTATGACGCTGCCGCTTTCCTGTCCGGAACCAGACTGGACTTCCCTGCTGACCTTGCCCCTTTTGTTACCTCCCAGTCGGTTCTTGTGATCAGATCGATTGGTTTTCAGCAGACCAAAACAAAAAAGGCCACTGATTTTGGTGGAAGGGAAAAGGCTTTACTCAAATCTGGCTCCAAGAACAGGGAGGCCTCCTTTGCCTCAAATCGCCAGGAACAGGGCTGTAAGGAGCAGGGCGGAGAGGGAATACAGTGACAGGCAGACATCTCCAGGCTTGCTGTCTCCCTCCCAGACCTTCCCCTCTCTCCCTTTCCAGTGGAGGGGAAACCGGACCCCAGATTCCTGGGCCAGCATCTACGTATTGCTTCTGGGCTGGGGAGATGCAGGAGTAATGCTTTGTACCCTAGGCCTGAGGAAGTTTGGAAAATCCACTTCTCTCTAAAGGAAAAAATAATCTAACTTTTAAAGTGCCATGTTGCTGTGTCAGTTAGATTTACAGCGTAACTCTTACTTAGATCATTACAAAGTGATGCAATCATACGCATAGGTTACCAGTGCTCTTCCAAGCTAAACAGCTTATGTGCATATGCGCACTGCATTTTTATCCAGGACAAAACTTCAACATTTGTGGTAGGAAAAGACTAAGATCTTTTTTCTGAACTTTGGGAAGCTTTCCTGTAAAAACAAAATGAGCTTTTTAAAAAACCACATTTTAGAGTACCTAATTTAAGCAAGAACTAGATTGAAAAAAGAAAAAAAAAAAAAAAACAATAGCAGCTTATTACAGAGAAGCAAGCAACTCTTTTAGCTTCTCTTAAAACTGTTAGCATTAGAGCTGGGCGTGGTGGTGCTCACCTGTAATTCCGGGCTGAGGAAGGAGGGTTGCTGTGAGTCCAAGGACAGCCTGGGTTACCTAGTGAGTTCAAAACCAGCCTGGACTACCTAGTGAAGCCCTGTCTAGAAAAACAAAACAAAACAAATCAAAACAAACAGACTGTTAGCATTAGTCCATATAAACCAACCCATTAGCAGACCAGGTGAGTTATAGCTATTAACTCTTTACATAGTATCCTTGCTTTAACTGGATACTTTAAAATGTGGTTTTTAAAAAAGCTCATTTTGTTTTTATAGGAAGGCCTTGCAAGGTTCAGGAAAAAAGATCTCAGATTTTTCCCACCACATATGTTGAATTTTTTTTCTGGATAATATTTATTTATTTGAATTCTCCTTGGGGCCGGGGATGTAGCTCTGCGGCACAGCGCCTGCCTGGCAAGCGCAAAGTCCTGAGTTTGATTCCTGGTACCTAAATAAATAAATAAATAAATAAATTCTCCTTATACAAATTACTGACTTTAGGATATCTCAAAATTATGACCAAATACAAGCCTCATTCACTTTAAGACTTATATCATTTACAGCTCATTTTTTTTATCTGGTTGACCTATACTTTAACAAGTCGCCATTTCTAGACGTTTACTGTTGCTTTAGAATAGTTACTCTCAGACTTATTAAAGCATCAGATACCTTTTGATTTTATTTCACAGGGTATTATGTATACATATATTAACAACCTGTGAAATACATTTCATAATCTGAAGTACGTCATCATTTACAGATTTTAGGAAGACAAGCATACTTGAATTTATACTTAGCAAATGTCTTTAGTATTTGAATTTGATTATAAACAGTTCAAGCATTTTATTTACATACCCATCTAATTATATTTTTAACAGTTATGTCTAACTTTCCTACAAAACGTAAGACATCAGACAAGCATAGCTCACTGTCTCGAGCCGTTTCTTTGCTGAGGAAATAAAATCTTTTAAGAGTTGTTATACTTAAGGTCCTATATACACAAATATAATCCAGGTTGGCTAATTTAGGCAAAATATATGTTTGAAGACAACTGTATCTTTCAAACTTTTGCTTAAGTCATATGAACTAAAAGACATTTGGGTTATGTTTTCTTAATTAGTGAACATTTTTGTTTTTAAAGTAATGGGTACACTTTACAAACCCAAGAATATAACATATAGTACATCTACACAATCTTACATAAAACACAAACTTAGATTTACTTTTATCATTTACTTTTTTTTTTTTTTTTTTGGTTTTTTCTCCGGTACCAGGAACCGAACTCATGACCTTGTGCTTGCCAGGCAGGCGCTTTGCCGCTGAGCTAAATCCCCAGCCCTATCATTTACTTTTAAAAGTTGTAATATTGGTATGATTTGTTTTACAGTGGTGAGCAATTATTTAACCTTAAATTTGCGTATCTGAAGGTAGATTTCTGGTTGTAGAAAGGAGAGAGATTTACATCTCCTGTCCCTTTAATCTGAGCTTGAGTTTCCTCAAGTCTTTGCGCCATAAGGGAAAATAGGTTTTAGTAAGCTTAAAGAGCTCTTATGCCAGATTTAAGACATTTTCCACTGTATTAAGTTTTAGACTCATCTGGTCAGAAGTTTACACATTCCATCCTGATTCTGTTGCCCAAGGCCTCTGGAGTGGAAAAAGATGCGAGTTTAGGAAAATGCCTCCCCCTGGGCAGAGCACAAAGGCAAGCTCTCTATGGCCCAGTTTGTCCATTCTCCTTGCTGAGGAATGGAGGTGGCAGAAGAGACAGAAGCCGATTACAAGCAGACTGGAAGTTCTGACAAATATTTTGAAACACCCAATTTAGAATGAAGCAAGGTGCTTAGCCAAAATGAAGGGAACAAAGTGTACTCTCCACTATATGGGCCATGTGCTATACCAGTCGAATCCCTTTTTCTAAGTCAAAGGTGACCGAAACCTCTGTAGGAAGCTACAGGGTAACACAAGTATTTTCCATTCCTCAGCAAGGGCCAGCAGAGATCTCCAAGACACCCCAGTGTCTCTAGCCTCTTAAAGTCTTCTAATCCAAACCTGTCACATAATTTAAGAACCTCAGACTCCCACACTGGCTCACAAAGAAGCCCCAGAATGGCCCAGAGAGCTCCAAGATGATTTCCCCAAAGCCCCAGATGGGGTCATAAGAACCAGAGAACAAGGAAAGGGAAGGCTCATACCAGTATCTCTGCATGACGGATCCAAGCCTCCAACTGGACGCTGCCATAGAGGGCGTTCCTATCCTGCAATGGGAAACTCCCCAGCCACACTAGGTGCTCGGTCAGGTCTTAGAAGGGGCCAGTTGTCTCAGGCCTTGCATACATGTGGCAGAAGGGGCACAGCTCCAGTGGCTCCCTCATCATGGCATCCTGTGCATAACCAGTCCCGTTGGTATGTGGTATGTGGTTTCTAGACGGTATGGAAGCCTCATTGCCCAATCTAAATATTCAAGATGGTTATCAGAAGGAAAAGATAAGAGAAACCAAAACAAGTCAAGCCAAATCAAACCAAATGAGAACTCTAAACGAACAAAAGAAACACCTGGAACTTCTTTTCTACTGTTCAGTCTCTTCTCAGTCAATAACCGAAAATGATCTGTGCTAGATCCAAATGGCTCGAAACAGTGAGGATACTTACCTCTCCCCAAATGGCGCAGCCGAGGAGCCTAAGAATGTCCGAAATTATATTCCAATAGCTCAGTCAGATGAGGCACTTTCCAGTGTGAAGCCAGGCAGAGCCTACAGCTCCCCAAACGGCATTTCCTTTCACCAACAGAAGTGTTTACAGACAGCTGCTGCCATGCATGGGAAAGAAGGGAGAAATTCTAGGGTGCAAGTGTCCTGGGCTGCTAGGATGTCCTTAGAGTCCAGGCCATGGGTTCAGGTGGCTAGAAGCTGTCAGTCTCTTTTGCAAATTACTTTCCCAGTAGGACATCAGAGACCAATGTTATATCCTCCCCATGAAGAAGCTTAGAAAAGTGGCTTGTCTACAAAAGAAAAAGAACTGAACATTCGAAGTTCTGTCTTGCCCTAGCATTTACACTTTTTCTGTTTTAATTTCCTCATAGCCTTAGGTTCATTCTCCACACCACGCACCTTGTAGTTGCTTCTAATGCATCAGTGTTGGCGTGTGAGCAAAACTATTTTTGCTATTTCTATTTGGAGCTTGCATTCACTTTTTATTTCAGAACATCAACTAGCCTGACAATTTTAGGTTTTTGTTTCAAAAAAATGGAAATACTTTTAAATGTAATTTTTTATGGCATTAAGGAAAAAGCAAAGGAGAGAAAGATTTGTCAGCATTTGTCACTGCATTTATCTGAGCTGGAGGTTTTTTTAAATTTTTTTTTTATTTTAAAGAGTAAAAGAAGGATAACAGTAATGGGGGGGCTTACCAAATTACAGACAAAGTGGTAGGAAATTATCAATGGTTATTGTTTTACATATTGTTATCTACAAGATAGCTTCTCAGGAAAACAAATAGACAAATAATAGTGAGTTACAGACAAAAGAGGTAGGAGATTATCAATAGTTGTTGT